GAAATGTTAGGGTTTTTTTAACTTGCCAGAGGCAATGTAGGATGTCAAACACAATAGTGAATAGATCTTGCTAAGCATCTTATCCTTTTGATCTAGATAAGCAGACAATCTTCCTGCTCTTGGGGGCCTATTTTATACAAGATTGCAGCAAGATAAGTAGTTGCCATACTTTGTCCCCTGAGGTGATTAAAAAAAAAGCAATTGGTAATATTTTACACCCACCTTATTACAGTAATAAGATATAATAAGTGAATTGCTTAAAGTTGTTTGAAGTCCTGTGAAGTAAGTATGGTATTGTATCTGACACACTGGCATTGTTCCCACAATATGCTTAGCTATGTCAAGGGAGAGGTCAATGTGTTGGAGAACACCAAAGAGGAGTTACTTGACCCAGCCTACTAATTCCTAAGGAGTTGGATTCAGCCTCAGAGTGTTCCAGTCATGAATATGACTAACTCTGTTTAGTCAGCCATGTCATGGAACTCAGTGAGCTGCCCTAATTTGTCTCCTTCCTCCTCCAAGAAAAATTGCTGAACAAAAGGAGGTTTCCTCCCACCCCCCCAAAGCAGGGCGAACATTTTCAGTTTCATTGTTGGAGTCCTGGTAGCAACTCAACAAGACTTCCTAACATCTCCTGGCTTCAGGGGCAACAAAACCACACACCACACAACACAATCGAATGGGGAAAAAAGCCTCAATGGTGCCCTTGAGCCTAACTCCTGAAACAATCTAACATGCTCCCACCTGCACCCAAATGCAAACCAACACCAGTACTCAAACAGAAATATGGCCACACCCCTGTAAGAACCAAAACAACCTCAAATGTTACTGAAATGAATAGTACCAGTGGCTACCAAGTTCATGAGGGAACATCACATTACCTCCTGGCTGCCACAGCCATCACCATCCCATAGAGTCCACAGGGTGAGGACACTTAACCATACAGTTATTTATTTCTGTGGGGAAACAAATACCTACCCCAACCCGCCCCCACAACACAGGCACACAGAAGAAGCTGTGCCAATCCCAGCCAGAAGGAAACTACACAGACATGGCACAATCCCCCAGCAGCCTTCCATCTGGTATCAGCACTAGTTTTATGGACACTGCATCCTTCAATCCTAACCACGTCTGGAGCAGGCAGCAGGTTCAGAGATCCAGTAGAATCAGGATCTTTTATACTTTCATGGAAGGCAGCCCATCATACTGCTTAGGGGTTCTGATCTGCACAATTCTCACACTGTATTACAGTACCTCCTTACTCCATCCCACTTTGGTGTCAGAGCAATAGAACAGACCTTGGCAAAAGCAGCTTGTGCGCTCTTTGGGATCACTTGACTATCAACATTCCAGCTAAAGTAACACCATTGGTGACTTCCATGGATGAGGCTCAGATATTGGTGAGTGGAAGAGAGTTTCCATGCTGGTTTTTGGAATGTCCCTCACAACACTCAGCCAGATCACCTCAAAAATAGCTCCTTTAGTTTAACAGTAAGTCATCAAGATGTGTTGGCTGCGTCTGAGTGGCAGCTGGCTCTGACCCTGTACAAGGTAGCTTTCAATATTACCTACTTTTCCCTGAGTACTATATGTGTTATGGTTAAACAATTCTGTATCATTTTCTGTGAGATGATCTGTGTGCTTAATGAGTATTATGACTGTCATAAAATGGGAAACAAGGGAAGTTATTTAGGGCTTGGGGAGTGGGGGTATACCTTGGTGGTAATAGGGATGGATTCCTTCCACACTTGCATCCTTGTATCAGGGATGCGTGGCTCCACATTGTAGAACAGGAAATGCTGCTATAGCATGGTGCTTCAGGTTGTGGTGGATAACAATGTGTATTTCATGGGTGTCTTATGAAGAGGGTTCCAGTTCTTGTTGTGACACCAGTATTTTTGAGCTTCTGATTCACAATGTGACTAGAGAAGGTCTTCCTATGGTGGACCCATTGGCTAATGAATGGGATGTTGGTTGGTTCTATTGTCTAGGAAATGAGGCCTAAGCCATGGCTGATTATTTCCTACCATTTATTCCGCACTCTGCAGCAGCAACTCTTTAACTGCTACCACAGACAGAAACGTATAGTGGTTGAGTGAGTATCTGATTGCCTGAAACTGAAATAGACCAAAAAATTAGCTCCAGAGATGATTATTGCTTCTTACATTCTTCACAGTATCTATGAAGATGATGAGAATGTGTTGCTAGATGATATTCTTGGTTTGTCCTCTGAGCATGCAGCAGCGGACGCCATCCCAGTGAATGGTAAGAAGAAGTGGATGCCCTGCTTCAAAAACTTTTGAGCTAGTGATACCAATCATAGGAAGATGACAATGATCTGTGACAGAATCTCTCTGGGACCACTGTGTTTGTGTCTGGTATAGATGATGAGAAGCATATAGACTGCTGCTACTGGTTGGTTTTCTGTAGTTTGCTGATTTTGATTGTGCACCTGAATGCCAAGGATGTGCCCAAGTATTTGTGTGTGGTCCTGTCACTCTCTTTCTCTTGGTCTTGAATTGCATCATGCTCTTTGATAGACATGTCTTCTTTGCTTTTGTTGTCTCCCTCCTAAAATGCTTTGCAAAAAGTGTGGGAACATTTATGCCAGGGATCATTTTTAGCATATTGACAGTCTGTCAGATGGTGGGGAAAGGTGGTAGTGGTGTTAGGCAGGGATCAGAGATGTGAATAAGATGGATGATTGCTGGAAGGTAGGGTAATCAAAGGGACAGGATGCATGAATGAATAAGGATTCTAAGTCATCATTTGAATCAGTGTTTGAAGTACTGTTCTTTGGTGGCCTTTTCCTTCTACTCTCCATTTTCCCTTTCTCTTTTCATATCCACTGCTGCTTGCTTAGCTAACAGGAAGAAATTGCTGATATCATGAAACTTTGCCAGCATTTTCCTACTGCAAGAGTTCATGGGATACCAGGAATCTTGTGCCCAGTGTCTTCAAAACTGATTATTTTTTACACATACGTCCCTGACAGAACCACTAAACGCTGACTGGGCCATTCATGTTGTGGAATAAGGTCAAGGAGCATGTTCACACATATCACACTAAGCCAAAATCAAATGAGCCATTTTTGGCTGTGCATCCTTGCTTGAAAAGATAACCCTGTCACATGATGATGGAAGAGGCCATAATGAGGGTCAAAGCAAATGTGTTACAACACAAGCTAAAGACCTAGTTTCATTCTGGCATTTGCAGGTAATGAATTAAGGATACTTCACGTGAGATCCTGGAAGGCTACTCCAGACAAGCTATCCAATACTGGGTAGTTGACTTATTTCTTACTTTCCTTACACAGCCTAATCCTATGAATGTTTATAGGAATGTAAGGTCACTGTGAGTTCCGCTGAATTATAGCCTTTCTATACTTCATCTTAGTTTTCTCTGCAAACGAAAACTATCTTTTCCAGTTATTGGTCAAGAATTCTAAAACATTTATATAGCAAAATGAAAAGCTTCTAGGAAAGGCGAAGTTTCCCTTCCAGTATTTAGTCAACATGCAATCTGATCCTGGGCATATTTACCTGGGCTATACTTACAGGAATATGCAGCAGATTAATATTTAAACTCACTTTTTGCATTCCAGGGACCAGCAATGCAAGTTTACAATATGGTGTGCAGTTATCCAGTGTTCCAGCCAATCAGCCATGTCATCCTCTAAGATATTCTTTCTCTTGACCATTTTTTTCATTCCTCCTGGCAGTCAGCTAGAATTCCAGGGCCACTGAAAACATTCAGTCTTACTCGGACTTTCTGCTTTTTGGGTTCTGCTTTTTGATATTTTCCCTTTAAGTTAATCTGCAGTTCTGCAAAACATGGGTTTCCTTATGACTATCTGGCTGTGAGTAGTCTGGGTAGTGCCACTGAACTATATAAGCAATGGGTCTCAGTGTTAAGCCTGGAAGATAAAGAGCGTATCTCTAGTCAGTTGGCTAAAAGGGACTGCTGGGCTTGTCTCCTTTCTCCATTAAAGCTGCATCCACCTGGCAGTTTGCCAGGGCTGGTTTACTTTTTCTGGAAGTGCTGAAAATAGACTGGAAGATTCATCAGGGAAGAGCAACAACTGGAACTATGGGTATGGGAGGATCATAGTGATCCTCTTATTCTGAACCACACCTCAGAAAACCCTTAGTTGTTATTTACATGAGCAAAAATTGATAGGAGGACTGGCTAAGTCCTGACTTGTATGATTTGAAGGGATTAGCCTTGCTCAGATAATGTGCTTGCTCTGCTATGGGTTTGCCCTCAGCTGTATCATCATGCCCTCTACACATTCATATGCATCTCTCTATATTCGGCCATGAAAAACGTGTTCTCCCCACCTACCCTAGCTTCTAGGCCCAAATTGGACTTCAAGACTTCTTTGCCAGTTTGGCTGAAGTTTGCCAACCCTTTCAGAGCTAAGGAGGACATTGCAATATTCTGCAGCAGTATCCACTCGTTATGGCTAACCTACATGGATAAACCTTTTCTTTCTGAATGTATTGAATCCCTTTTTAAAACAAATGCAATTGAAATGAACCTCCAGCTGCTTCCATAAACTTACTATTCAGTGTTCTTGCTCATTACTGTGCAGAAGCCCAACATATTTCAGGAAATTGTTTTATCAAGGTCACTATACTAGCAACTTCTATCTGAAATGTATTAGCTGGCAAGCACCATACGCTTGATAAAGGAATTTTCTGAAATGTGTTGGGTTTACACGATACATTATTTTTGTTTCTTATTGGCACTTGAGATATTCTCCCGGTTATGGTAGAGGTGAACAGCATTCAGTGTCTGCCCTCTTTTTCATTTTGTTCTTCACTGAACAGATTGCTATATATTCTGGAATAAATTGCCTTGTACTTGAACAAATGAATTTATAATTGTATCCTTCTTAAAAGCTGGAACTACCGGACACAAAAAAGGCAGTCAGTGAACATATTAGCTGGGTTCACATATTGCACTGAGCCATAATTTGCTTAACCATGGTTTATTCAATAAATCACAATTGTTGGGTTTGCATGACAGGCTAAACTACAAGATTAAAGTTTTATAAACCAAACAAGCCACTTTAGGCTTAGCATGAGAGCCTTTTTTTTCTGTAAAGTGCCACAAGACTGCAGTAATCAGCAATAGGAAAAATAAATAATATAGACAAAAAAATAATAATGAAGCTTTAATATAAAGGTATCTAAGCAAGGAAGGATTTACTTTAGAGGAGTTTGATTGGTACATATATATTTCAGTGCCATTTTAGTGACAATTATTATGAGTGGGCCTCTCATCTTGGTATAGAGTAGAAATAAGAAGAGCTGGGATGATGGAGCTACACTTTGTAAAAGAATGCATATATTCCATCACATAACTCTTTAATGAAGACAGTGGGTGGCATCCGACCTTTAGTGATTCTTAATAAAGGCACAACAGAAACACAAGCGGGAGAGTAACTCCCACTTCTAGTACAGCTAATTCTGGAAACCAGATGGGTACATTCTGTAGTGTTTCTGGGACTGGATTGCTACAGCTAACTTTTTTTTTTTTTTAAATGATCCCCTATTGCCATCTACTGGTCTTTAAATAGTAAAAGCTTTATTTTATGAAATGTCGGCAGCTTGCACATAGTATGCAGAGACTGTTTCCATATGCCCTATAGGACTAATACTTGGAGAAGGAGCAGAAACCACAAAGAACTGTATCTTGCCATTGGGCAGAGTAAGACAGCTACTTTAAACAGGTGATTTGGATTATCACAAAAAGGCAAGACGTTGTTAAATGCATTTTTATGGCTGATGAAGGGGAGTCCTGGAACACTCCTTGTTTAAAGGAAGACAATTGTACCAATGAAGAACTGTACCACAAAATTATAAAATCTATGTACAATGAGATTTATCAGTATAAGACTTGTAGAAACTCCCAATTTTGCAGAAGTACAAATTTAGGGGAAAAAAATCAAAACCAAACAAGACCAAGATGGAAGACCCACTAAAAACAGCTCAGTGAGGACTTGGATTGACCAATGACCAAGTAAGTATATGATTGCAAGAGAGAAACACTGGAAAACAGGGGCAGTAAAAACTCCTTTGAATCAAACTTGATTCCTGGTAATGACATGGACACATCCCTATTGTTTTCTTGGCATTTCTATGGCAATGGTTTGATTGTTTCCAGGATTTTTTTTTCTTTTATTCCCCTCCGCTCACCTCAGCTCAGTGGTCTCCAATTCAAGTATTAAATCAAACTCTGCTTGGCATTTTTTGAAACCAGACAGGGATGCTAGGTGCTGCAACAGTGGGAAATTTAATGAAACCTCTTTGAATATATTCATGGCCGATAGGGCCAGTGGGGAACTCCAACTACACGCTGTTGCAGGTTCCACTTTTGTGTGTGCATCTATGAAAGAGAAATATGGTTTATGCTTATATTAAATATTTTAATTCTACTCTTGCTCTAAAGATCACAATATAAAATAGTTCTTCATTTTGATTTTTACAAGATTGTAAGGAAGACTGGACTATCACCCTCTATCAGCTTTAACTCTTTTAATGAGCTTCTGTTTTTTACCCTATCTATTCTACATGAACTCGCTTACAATGAGATCTATTATATTTCATTTCTATTTCTATTTCTATTTCTGTATTTACTTACTTACTTTTGCTTTATTTTTGTGTTGCCACAAAATTTGTATTGCTACCCCATCCAAAGTCACCACTGGAGCAAAGAGAGAGCTAATTGGTTTCTGGGCAAATAGCAACTCAGTCTTCATGGAAGTCAACTTCATCTTGTTTCTCCCCATGCAAATCCTCACAGCAGCAGGTTAAGGCTTCTACTGCATCACTGCTTGGCCTGTGTTGGAAAGGTGTATCTGGGAACGATCAACAGATTGATAATATCTCATCCCAAATCAAGAAATGATCTCTTCTGGTGGCTTCACATAAATGAAATTTGCTATTACGTATATCTAATATTGAAACATTTATTTGTGTTTACTTTCTGACTTCATCTGAATCACCATTCTTCACAACCTTATTTCCTCCATCCATCATTGCCAACTAGTACAGCAATGCACCTGGAGGTATCAGGTTAGGGAAGGCTTCTCTACCTCTGTGATAACTTTTCTACTTAGAGAAAGCATTGTGACATGTCTAAACAGCACTGGGAGAGACTGCTGCTCTGAAAGTTTTTACTTTGTCCTTCTAAGCTTCCACAGAATCTTTGCAAACCAGGAAGAAAGGAATGCTTCCAGTTGTAATCAAGCTGAGCAATGCCACTGATAAATGATAGTGGCCATACCTGGAACTCTTCCCAGTTTCCTTGACAGCAGCATGCTGGGATGGAGCCCTATGAAATGCTGAGTCATTGGTTCACTACCCAAGGATTAAAAAAAAGAGCATAGTTCTACTTTAAGGCATTTCTAGGACTACAGAGGTTTCTACATACAGTAAGCTTAATGAGAAGTCTATGAATGCCAGGACAGCCATGCCTGAAATGCAAGGAGTTAGCAATTTTGCGAAAAAAAATAATTTTAACCCAATTCCCAGTGAAACAGGAGAAGCATTTCAAACTGTATTCACAAATAATAAGGCCTTGGAAGACATAGGCAAGCATGAGCCAGGCCTCTCAGAACTATAATTAGGACATAACTCTTACAGAGATGCAAAGGACAAGCTAGTATGTGGTATCAGTGATGAAAAATTCATGACTTCAGCCTGAATCACAGAATCTATCCTTTGACTCTGCTATAAAGCTTCTCCAGCATATGGAGTCAGTAAATAAAAGTATACAGGCTTTACTGGCTAGCAAAAATAAAAATGAAGAGGCTATTAATAAATATGTGAAATTTGCAGCACAGATAGCCTAGGTAGTACTTTAAAAGTAAATGGTCCTTGATGCATATATGGTAATTACAAACTTTTCATAAATCAGATCTTCCAGCTACAGCAATCACCTGCCTCCTAAATTAGAGTTCTTTTGCAGTATTAGTGTCCTCTATAAGACTTAGAATTAAGGCAAACAAGAAGCAAAGCAATTAAGTTCATGAGCTTCAATTGCTCTGTTGTAAATCTTTTAGCAGAGACCCAAGACAGAAATAAGGGCAGGCTATTAGAATCAGAGAGTTGGAAGGGCCCCTAGAAATCATTTAGCCCAACTCCTTGCTCAGAGCAGGATTCACTAGAGCAGTGTTCTTGAAGTCCACACATCTTAAAGTTGCCAAGGTTGAGGAACACTGCACTAGAGCATCACTGGCAGATAACCATCCAGCCTCTGATTTAAGATCTCTAGTGAAAGCGAACTCATTATGTCATATGGCAGCCTGTTTCACTAACTGATAGCTCCTATAGTCAGGAAGTTCTTCTTGATGTCTAGCCTGACCTTCCTTTTTTATAGTTTCAACTGACCAGATCTGATCCTACCCTTCTGGGGCAATAGAGAATAAGTCTATTATTCCTGTATGATAGCCTTTCAGACATTTAAAGACTGCTATCATATTTCCACTTAGCTGTCTTTTCAGTAGACCAAACATACCCCAATATGTTCCTTGTTAGGCTTGGTTTTCAGGCTCCTCCTTGGTTGCCATCCTCTGAACTTGCTCCAATTTGCCACTGTCCTTTTCGATCTGTGGTACCTGAAATTGGACACAGTATTTCAATGGGGTATGACCAAAGCAGAGTCAAGTGGGACAATTGCTTTATGTGATCTGGACTCTGTGCGCCTGTTAATATACCACAAGACAGCATGTGTTTTTTTATCACATTGCTGACTCATGTTTAACCTGTGATTGAAAGAGACACCCAGATGTACTACTATCTCCCCCAGCTTTAATATTGTGCCTTACATTTCCCCCACCCAAATGTAGAACTTTTCATTTTACCTGTTCATTTCTACCCTATCATCTCACCCACTGCTCAATTCTTTCTTTCTGAATCTTTTCTGTTTCATCTTAAGTATTAGCCACCCCTCCAAACTTTATAAGTGTCCCCTAAACTCCCTCATCCAACTCATTGATTAAAATGTTGAACTTTGGATACTGTCATTCAGCCAACTGTGAGTCTATCTTACAGTAGCATTATCTAGCCCATATTTTAGTATTTTATGAAGGAGAATATCATGAAGCACTTTGTGAGAAGCTTTTCTAAGGATCAAGGACACAATAATGATGGCAGTCCCCTGACCTAATAACTCTATCAAATGAGGTAAGGTTAGTCTGGCATGGTATGTTGCTAACTGTAATATGCCTATCCAAGCGCTCACAAATATGTCGCTTGATAATCTGTTCAAGGACTTTGCCCAGTAGATATGTTAAGCTTGCAGGTCTATAGTTTCCTGGGACCCCCTTATTCCCCTTTTGAAGGTGAGGATATTCTTTTCTTCCAGTCTTCTGGGACCTCACCAGTCCTCCAGGAGTTGTCAAAGGTTACCCAGAATAGTTCTGAGATTACTCTGCTAGTTCGTTCAGCATTCTGGGATATAACCCATCTAGCTCTAGAGGCTTGAATTCATTTTAATTAGTAAGTTCTCTCATACTTTCACCTTGTCTGTCAGAAACTGCTGTTCCCTCCTTCCCTCAGTGGCATAACCATGATCAACTTGGGCTGCTTTTCCTTTGTGGGAGAAGACAGGCAAAAAATAGGAGTTAAGAAAATCTGCCTTATCATCATCATCTATTATTAATTCATCACTCTCTCCTTGCAATGGACATACTCCCTTCAGCTTTCCTTCTGTTTCTAATAAACAACATTAACAAAAAGAGTTAATTGGGTATCTCTTGCAAGCTTCAGCTCATTCTGAATTTTAGTTTTCTGATGAGTTCATATGGTTACTAGAAACTTTCTTGTATTTGTATTTGGTTATGTTCCCCTCTTTCCATTTCTTATATGTGCCCCTTTTTTTCTTGAACATTTCAGAGAGTTCTGCATGTATCCATACTGACTTCTTAGATTTCTCCTGATTTTCTCTCTTGTGGGGATTGTTTGTGATGTACCTTCAGTATCTAATTTTGCAGAATTTCCCATCCTTCCCAGACACTTTTTTCCTTCAGGGTTTCAGGCCATTGGATACAACCTACTTTGCCACAAGAGTTCATCAGAATTGGCTATTCTGAAGTCCTATATGAGGTCTGACTCTTCCCACTTCCTCCTCCTCTGGAGATCACACATTCGAGGATAACATGATTACTTTCCACCAAGGTGTCAGTAACCTTCACTTCTTCAACTAATTCCTCCCTGTTGGCAAGGCCTAGGTCCAGTATAGCAGACCCCCCTGTTTTTCTTCCACCTTCTGATAAATGATGTCAGTGAGAAAGGAACAAGAATCTGCTAGACCTCTGACTCTTGGCAAAATTAGATTCTGTGGAGTCCTTGGGGTTCTCTGAACTTGGTACCTGGCTAGGTAACATCTTCAATGCTAAAATGGGATGGGGTTTGGTCTCTATTTATGTGCTGTGGCCTGCCTTGCCAGTGCTGGTAAGGGTGGGGGTTTTAGCACTGAAGATGTTACCTAGCCGGGTAATGAAACGTTTGCAAGAAAAGAACCAAAC